CCATAACGTACGAACGTGCCAGAATGCTACGGAAGGGTCTAATGTATCAAACTAAATGTAATTATTGTAGGTACTTCATTTTATGGTGGTTTGGTTGAAGATTATATACGTGTTGCAGTAGAAAGTGGCTCACTCGGTGGTGTGGCGCACTCGGTGGTGGATTACGTTAGTTATATAACGGCTATCCTATATCTACCTAGGCATATATAGGATCCCTACCCATAAGGCTTCCTTAGTCCGGCCCGCCTAGCGGCTACCTTATTAGTCTATAATATTATTCCCCTCCTTTTATAGCGCTTATCTTTAAGGCCTTAGATACGGTCGCATTTCCCTTGTATATATAAGTATTTATATTCTGACTTTCTCCTCTTTTCTCGTGATACTAACGCTATATTAAGTTATATAACGAAATCGCGTTTTTATAATCTTATTACTAAGCGTAAATCGCTCTTTACCTATATTATTAAATTTAAGTCTCTCGATATAATACTATATACGCTATATTTCCGTCGAAAGCTATCCTATTAAATAGCAGAGAATTTATCACGCTATTTTAAGTGCGTTCGTATAGGTCGTCCTTACGATACGGTCCTAATAGGAGGTTCTCTCAACCGTATTTATACCGCCTTAGATTAGGTCGAGGCGTAAGTAGACACGACGCTGAAGAGTGGTCGCTTTACGGCTAAGTTTCAGTCGCAGCAGGTGCAGACTTTTGAAGTGGAGGGCGTGGTGCTTTCACTGAGCACTTGCAAGACAAAGCGCTCACAGTACCGTGGACGACGATTGGTGTGATCAGTAGAGGTTGATCATGCACCAGAAAGCGGCTCAAGTAGTTAGTAAGGGAGCCGTGATGAAAATGGTACTTTTCATTGAACAGCAAACGTTCATCTTGCCATCTTACGGGTCACGTTAAGAGCTTGGCTGTAAGCGGCTTATGTTTCTCTGCTGACGGGCACCCATGTGACAGTCGCCGCATTGCCGTGGGTTCTCAAGGTGATGATTTCATGTATGGAGTCAACGTACTGCTGGCCTGGTTGTTATGAGGGCCTCCGGAAGGTAAATATGACCGCCTTATTGCTTGTCAATATTGCCAGCTTCGGCCCCTTACCTATAGCAAACGCCTAAGCGCTTATGCTTTAGGGACTAGCTCCCCGGAGAATAGGCTATCTTCTGGTCTTAAGAATCAGTAAAGGAGTGACGCTTAAGGCTTGGCCTTTCCGTATTAATAGTAAACGTCTCGATTACGATACGAGCCCCCATTTAGACCGTCCGGACTAAGCTAATTATTACAACGCGTACTGCCTAGCTTATATCTACTCTCATGTCTCTTTCTACACCCCGTCGTTAATAATCGTCTAAACACGTTCGGTCTATAGAGAGAAAAGGGGTTAATTGCCTCTAGGTCGTCGAACGTTACATAATCAAGTGCTACTGCTAACTCATAAACAGGTGACCGATAGAGCCTCCTGAACTTCCGGATACGCGATATCGCGTTACGCAGCGGAGCCGGCAGGGTATACAGATCGGTCCACAATATAATCATTCGTCTCAAGATTCCTAAGCGCTTGGGATATACGCCTCTGCTTCGGCTTTAGCGGTAGCTACCGTGATGAACGTTCCGACGATTGCTATGCTCTAACATATTATACCGTCGGTGTCTCCCCAGACTGGATGCCTGCAAGAAGCTATCAACTTCCACTCATCCCCAAAAGAATGCGTTCATGTAAACCAACATTCGAAAATCGTTTCGCACAGCCGGCATGTACACAGTGACAACGCTTTTCGCCCGAATGTGTTCGTGCATGCACCTTGCGGGCTGTCAATATCAAGCCACTCATTCACGTAGAATGTTAAAAGCACTTGCTGCCTGCTATCGGTGTCGATAGCTTCAAGCAACCCGGCGTCTGCCTGCTATGTCTCAGATGCCTGCCTCATCGGTACAGGTATAAATCACCTACTACAGTCAATCGTTAGATAAAGAATTAAGAGTCTTTCGTTGCCCAAATCCACTGGGGACCTTCTGCCCGGTCGTCAGTCAGTCATGCACACGTGCAGTGCGACAATCCTCCTGTGCTTGTTTGTCCACGACCGTAACTGAGACGGAGTGTAATGGTAGAGAAGAGTGCAGGACGCGAACGTTGGAGGGTGGAAAGTCCCAAGCGTGGCGACTTAGTCGTAATGCATTTCCCTTGCGTCACGAAGTGTTCGCTAATGGGATTGAAAAAGGGGGGGGGGGNAATTGGTACGGGGGAGGGTTGAGCCACCCTGTCGAGTGTGCGCAGGGGAAGCAACCCACGATTGCATGTCAACGTCCCTCGTGCATCTTTCGGCAGCAAATACATGCTAGTTCGTCTTCCCAAGTTGTCGAACATACCATCGACACGGCAAGTGCCGTCTGCATAAGGCGGTTCTGTTCGGATCTGACAGGTCAGTGAAGTGAAGGGTCCATTCAGAGCCTGGACGGTGTCGGCGCAAGAAATCGGACGGACAATCCCAGACCCATCGTGCCGAGTGAAAATGGCAGTGAGGCATCGATAGCCAGTGTCATTGCGCTCTCAATGCATTGATCAGGAGCGAGGGTTGTGGCAGGGATCCTTGAGCTCAAAAGACGTAAATATGGACTGTAAAAAGGGCGCAGCCCTCGTTCGGCAGGCGTTACACCACGGGGCGCACTAGTAAGGGTATATCGCCGCCTTCATGGGACCACCTGTGGTGGCGCGCCAGCAGGAGTCGCGGTGTGCCCGATAGCACGCGACAGCACGATCGGTGCCGCTTTTGGTCCAGCGCGCGCCGTCGACGCCCATAAGCCGAGGGCATGATGACCGCGGGTCACGACTGTGGGAATCCTGTGGCAACGTGAATAGAAGGCCGCCGCTCCAGGTGCGGTGTCTTGGAAGTAGCTCATCTCTCGCCGTGCTTGGTACACTCGTTCGTCGTAATTGTGGCAACGATGGAATAGGTGGGTGTGTAGCTGTAGGAACCGGAGTTTCAAGAGATAAAGCTCGGAATTTTGTGCCGGCGTCGAAGATGCAGATGTCCGATGGCATTGCGGTATGCCGGAGAACCGTTCAACAATGAATAATGTACAGTCTCGGGCCTGAGGATACGTTGCGAACTGTGGGGGTGTTAAGTATCTGTTGTTCAATTGCCGGATTTGGCGGTTCAGCCAGACTGCGTCCGTAACGTAGCGTCCGTAGTAAAGTGATTCGGCGTCTCTATCAATTGCCTAGTCCTAAGCTGATGTGCAACATGCTTGAGTGATAAGTCTCCTCGGTGAATTGCTCATCAGGCGACTAAGTGCACTCATCAGTTGGCACTAGGAGCCGGTCTATATCTGGCCTCCATTTCCCGTTGTGGCCAGAGAATACAATGGTGTTCGGCACTTCCTTTAGATCACAGTCGGGCGAAGCGCTTCCTGCTTCCCGCCAGCGCTGTTTTGTCGACGAGAACGCCAAAGTATGAGACACTCCGTTGACTGTGACATCTGCGAACCGCGGCTGCCACATCCCATTACCATACTTAATGGTAATCGTCTTGCGGCCAGTAGCGGAACTCTGTACACCTTCGAACGTGGCAGTACCCCTACGGAACCTCCGATATATCCCGCAGCTTGTCCTCCGTTACACTCACCGCACGGGATAATAACGGCACCGTACTCAACTAGTGCGGTATCACCTTCGTAGTTGGTTTCTCCTGCCCTCTCTGACCAGGTGCCCTTCGCTACATCAGGTCTCCAGTTGTCGCGCCATTCCAGCGTGATCTTGGTACCGGAGAATGTAAGAGGTAGCCAGATGTAGATACTCGATGGAAGGTCGTTCCCATGCCAGCGATCGCCCATGTAAATGGCGTTGTTGGCACCAAGAGGCTGGATGTAGTTGACTTGGCTGTCAAAAGTTCTCGAGCCACCTGGTGCGAAGGTTGTCCAATTACACGAGGGCCCTGAGAGAGAAGATGCATAGCTGTAAACCTATTGGGAATTAGGAGCGACAGTCGGCCCAAGTCATGTTGAGAGCTGTCTCCGCCGTGAAATGCATGTGCCGGGCGGAAGAGTGTTGGTCGCAAGGTCATCATGTGCGACACCTCGTGTCACCGATCAAGCCCTGGTCAAACCTTGGTCACGGCAGTCACCTCTCTGTCCAAGTTGACCGGCATCACCCAATGACAAGCTCATGACGCGTACTGCCCCAATGTGCGACCGTCATCCGCTGCGGCGTTATGGCGAGAATCGTCCGATCGAAGAGTCATATCGGTCCGTGACGCATAACGCGTCCTCCATATTGCTGACAGCGCGTTGGCCGGTCGGTCGTCCTTCGCTGCGTGGCACAATCGCCCGCGAAGTGTCTGTCGATACCGAGAAGGGGCATGAAGTTCGACAGAATCGATATTGGTAGAGTCGGGCAAGCGGCGGGACCATCGAGCGTTTTGCAATGAGCGAAGTCTGAATATCTCTCTGTGGCGGTACTCACTCAAATTGAGTCAGCGTGCTTCGTATGTTCAACGGGAAGCTTCCAAGAGCGTTGTTGACGCGCGCTGGGATGAGGTTGGCGACGGCAGGATCGTGAGCGTGGCTTGACGCCGATTGGCGAGGGAGTCGCGACACCATTTGGCGACGCGATGACCAATGAAGTGCAGCCATGCAAGGTGCCTGCCAGCCGCCCCTCCTCTTGCGCTGCAGAGATGCCTGGCTCACCAGGCCGTGCAACCACACCCGCATGGCTCACCCGGCTCACCCAAAGTCGCGCGATTGGCCGGAGCGCCGGAGCTACTGGCGCATTTGCCACGGAGTCCCTCCGCCAGCAGCGATTCACTCCAGCACTCCATCCTTTCGCGAACCGCGGCCAATGTATACGAGCTCACATCATCGAGTTGTGTGCACACAGCCATGAAGTGCACGTTCGCGTTACGTCTCGCGAAAAAATTCGCCATCACTATTCGAGCTGGTACCTTCTTTTCGCGCGACAGGTGCTCCCCTCCATACCGACATATGAGGATTTTGGCCACTGACCAGCTCAGTGCTGGCCGCTGAGAATGCCACACTGGATGCTCAAACACGAATAGCGTATTTATGAACCCTTCTGACGTTTCCAGGTGTTGCTGGTGCTACGATGAGCCAAGGCCACTGCCGTTCTTCCAGTGATCTGGCACATATCGGCGTCGCTTCCCACTCCTGTTGCTGCACGAGAATGCCACTTTTCGCACCCAATGGGCCTGTGAGGGTATCAAGTCAAGATCAGGCTTAGTAATTCAGGTTGAGCCATCTGTCAATTCAACAGCAGAATAAGTCGCCTCTAGATTCAAGACGTAGCGCAAGGAAGCAAGAGAACGCAGGAAGCGGCTCCCTCGGGCAAAGTATAACAATAGGGATATCACGTGCCAAGGCATGTGATACCCTCGACAAGCATCAGCTTCTGGAATCGTGACAGCTCCCCCATAACTAAACGCGGAGCCCTTTGTGGCCATGTCAACAATGCCCATAGTCACAAAAGCTCTACTTCATCATGGTCGCCGAGGCGAGTATGTCCCGCACGGCTCAGAATTTCGGAAGGTAGAAAAGCCTAAAAGCCTTCACTCACGCGCTTGCTCAAGCGCAACAAAGTCCCACATAATTATGGACGACATCCAATCAATCTCACTGTTACCGAGTGATGCCCCACTTTCTGATTTTATTTCAATCATGCCTTCACAGGAAGACAGTCAACCACCCCAAGACCCTCCACTGGACTGCCATGTCATTGTCTCGACTATGAATCCAGCGGCGAGACGAGGGCGCCGCATGGCCAAGAGCAAAAACCGTGCCCTGTGTCCTTTTTCGGTGGTGACAGTGTCGACCAAGCGGAAGCGAAAGCGCGACACTCGAGAAATCGAGCAAGAGCGATGGCAACGATCGCCCTTCGAGCCCAAAGGAAGGTTTTTGACGCATGACACGATGGACTTGGCGTATATCGTCGAGCCGCATGAGCGATGGTCTGACATGACACGCTACAACAGCTTTGTTTGTAAGACTCCCAACAGTGCATCTCGCCGACGATCAGAATGATAATAATGAAGGACCTTTAGTGGAAAGGGTGCAATACTACAATGACGATTTCGTTTATGTGGCGACCGATCGGGCCATCGCGCAACAAAAGACTAGCGATGGGGGATCCAAGCATCACGGCTTGCTCCAGCTCGCCGACTGCTGGGTGGCCAAAATACTTGAGATCAAGGCGCAGGATCAACACCACGTTTATGCTCGTGTTTATTGGATGTACTCTCCGGACGACTTGCCTTCCAAAGCACTCGACAACAATAAGCTGATATCAGGACGGCAACCTTACCATGGACAAAGGGAGTTAATAGCGTCCAATCACAGTGAGCTGTCTCTCCCATCTAACGTGAACCGTCACTAACTAAGCGTCAGTGGATATCATCGATGCTCTCAGTGTTGTTATGCGCGCTCAAGTTAGGCAGTGGGTGGAGTCGGACGATGAAGCGGTGCAGGATTCGCTGTACTGGCGGCAAGCATTTGATTGTCGAACGTCTGAGCTTTCGGTATGACCTCCGGCGTCCCATCTATCCATGGCGAAAAGGCTTATCTTTCGGTGCTAGACTGTCGATCTCACATGTTATTGCAAAATGCCTGCGAATCCGGACAAAACATTGATTGGCTGCTCAAATCCAAGTTGCGATCAATGGCTTCATTACGAGTGTCTTCTGCATGCCTGTCCCATGAGTGTCTACGAGCAGCTTGGCACAGACAAGCCGCATAAGACCGAGTTGGCATCGAAGGGGAAAACTGTGGTAAATCCACAGCCAGGCGTACAAGCACAAATAGCAGCAAAGGAGGACGACACGACAAAGCCAGCTGCTGGTGAGAAAGAGAGTGAGAAGCCTTACTCAAAGTTAGAGTGCACATACGGCCTCACATCACAGCCAGCCCAGCCAGCCGGTACGCCGGAGAAAGCAACAGAAGTCATGGAAGTGGCGCATGACAAGCTTAATCAGTCGGAACACATAACAGAATCGGGCACAAAGGAAAGAGCAAATGGCGCGCCATACGCCGGGCTTTTCGATGCAAAGCTTCGGTTAGATCGAAACCAAGCGGTATGGGAGGTGGCTGATCTGCGGCAAAACATCCCTTGCGGCGATCGAGAATGGGAATTGGACGTTAAATGTTTGGTCTGCGGTTCTACAATCACGTAGTTGGAATAGTCTGTACCATAGAGAACAAGAACGGTTGGACAGACCGGTCTTACCGAGAACAGGACGCCTAGTCGAGCCCGCTTTGAAGAGGCTGGGACCATGCCATCTATATTCCCTCGTGACGCACTACGCTCTCTTGCGTGGTGACGCGATCCCCTGTAGCGCATGTCAGTGGCCCTTTACCATTGGACGCGTAGCGCTCTGTCACCGAAGCCAACCGTGCCGCTCTCTCTCAAGGGGAGGCGCCTCCAGATTGCTGTGCAACACGTTGGCGTCGCCAGTGTGGCTGCCTATTGTGCAAAGTGTAGAGAAGTCTTCCGGTGTTCAGCCTCTGCAGTACGTGGCCTAAAGGGAACTGGGCATTTGGTACAAGGTCTTGTGAGAAGTGCTGGCGTGACGCTTCATCATCTCTGTGCATTTATTTTGCGGCATTGTTTTTGAATCGCATAGGCCGCATGTAAAAATTTACAGGCAGTCCAGCACTGACTTGTGGTTCCTTTCTAATGTTCGCGGGAGCATGAGATATCCACTCCCGCCACCAGTAAAACGTCGGGCTTCTGTCCCCTGAAACCCACGGTGATGTCGAATGATTAGATAAGATCATCTGGAGAGTAGCGCGAGCCACGGAAAGGAACCGCCATCTCTGGGCGATGAGTCGTGAGAGCACAAGTGTGGACATTTAAGGCAAGTCAAGAATCAATTCATCCGTGACGAGTTGCCAGCGGGCAGCATGCATGATGGTCTAGAAATGCACGCATATGGAATGTAGGTGGCGAGCCGCTGGACTTGCGTCGTACGAGGCTCTCAATCTTCCTAGTTGCTGGGTCCCTCCCGGTCCTTCGGCAGCATCTCTCGACCTGAAACTTAATGACACCATAGCTACATTGTCACCGCAGTGGGCTGCAACCGGCAAGCCCGAATCCCCATCATTCGCTGAACGAAGATTATCTGTTCTCGAGGCAACGGCTCCCCAAGAAAGTCCGGTTCGTGGAACCTCCCGCTCGCCGCTGTCATGCTGATACCACGCGACTCGCTCACGGTCGCGATGGGCATTGTGCCGGGGACAAGCATCACCGATCTGGCGCTGCCGCTACTCAGCACCCGCACCGGAGCATACGTCATGTTCCCTTGCCCAGAGCGGAGGAGGTACAGCACCTGAATAGGATGTTCGCCAGCCGGGGGACTCTTCACAATAGTGGTCGAGTTGAAGACACTAGAATATGGAATGGAATAAAGTACGAGCGTAAGGCGAAAGGCCCATTCGCAGGAAGACTGGCATCGCCGGGCACGATCATCAACACTGATGGGGAGGACTACGTCGAGTATCGCGTGTTAACTAAGCCATCCTTGTTGAAGGAAGAATATCGGCGTCCGACCTTGAAACAGTCTACTTGACGAGAAAGTCTATATCCAATTCCGACGGTTACCGCCGCCGAGTATGGGTTCTGAAATTGCTCCGAGCATTATAGGGACTGAGACGATCACCGCTGCTATGGCAGAGAGACTTGACCACAGGGCTTGAGAAGCTTGGTCTCCGATAAAGCCAGGAAGAGCCGTATCTCGTCACGAACACCTGGCTCACTGTCTTTTCTTTGTTGACGATATCATCCTGCTGTATTGTACCAAGTATTAAGATGCCGCCAAATTCACCGCCAAGCTTAAAGCTCGATACGAAATGAAAGACCTTGGGGGGCTCAAGTTGTTCCTGGGCATTCCGACCAGCCACTCTTGTGGAAACCGCGCGACAAGCACCGACATACCGCTCCTTAGTTAAGGAGCTTGTATCCTGCAGATGGAAGAACAAACCAGGACGAAGCTTGGTTGGCTGGAGGATTGTTGAAGAGAAAGTCCGGGCCCAACAGCCCTTCTTGTACCTCTCACGTTGGCAGCCACCACTGCCTTGTTGTTGACACAAGCAACTGTGGGTCCTCCCGCTCAAAACCACCAATCGTCCTCTGGCCTCGTCGGTGCTATGATCGTTGTCCTCGGTCTCTTCGGAACGACGTAAGACCGCCGCCTCCTTAGAAACTCGGCTTTTATCACGATGTTCACCCGTCCACCCAATGGTGCGTGGTACGATGGTTCCCCTTATAACCCCCCTTATAACCAAACATACAGACCACTTCGCCCGACGCCCCGCACCGTGCTACGTGGTATAAGGCGTACGTACCGTCCCCGTGCCAAACTCCCTGACGGTCGTTCGCACTGTCCGACCCTCACACACGTCGTGTGAGTTTTACATATTGTCTCACTGTGTTCACTCGATTCACTACGTTCGCTGTCGCTCAGTCGTTCAAAAGCCCTCGACTTTTGTGATATTCTGTCTGTAGCCCTTTACGTTTCGTGGTGTTCTGAACAATTCAGCTTCGGGCCGATGCCCTGTATATTTTTCGAATGCCTCGTGTTTTCCCAGCTCTGGATTGCCATCGCCTCGAATGGCACCACCAGAGTGGCAACAGTCACGCACTACCGTCACCACAAGGCTGCCGTCTACCATTCCTTGCAGGTGAACGCCCATCTTGAGGTCGCGGAGGCAACTTCCGCCACGGATGATGTCACCCGGCACCAGAGCTCGATCCTTAGCCTCAGCTCCGCCGTCCACCCACTCCGGGAAAACGGTCGTGGCATGGGCCCCGTGGCCGGAGAAGTGGATATAGACGAAGTCGCCCTTCTCGGCACCCTCGGGCACTTTCACGCTGTCGACCAAATTGTCACAGGAAGGATCGCAGTAGCTGTCTGCGGGGAGCTGCGACAAATATTTACGTCCTGAGCAGGGAACAAGCAGCTTCGTATTCGGGTTGACCTTGCTTGTGTTGACGAGGTATAATTCGACTGCGAGGACATCGTTAACACAGCCAAGTAAGGCTTTGTACTCAATCTTATTACCTCGACCGTCGTATCGGGGTATAGTCGAAATCTACCGAGAGCCGTCTTTGAGAGTCGATGGGCGAACGATCATATTCGCAAGGAGAAACATGCGACTAACGTGACAAAGCAAGGAGAAGGCTGCAATATAAGGTGAAATGTATTCGACTGAAACGCACCGTTGTGTCTGCTTTCCCCGCCATTTAGTGATGCGGTTCGCGATGATTGTATTACAGTCTGGCTGTTCCGCAGTGTTCTGTAAATTTCGCCCAAGAGGCACTATGGCTGAAAAAGCTCATCATCATATCCCTCGAAGATCCGAGGCATGTTGGCCCTGAAGGAGAGTACTTGAGCGCTGGATCTGCTCTCGGAACACAGAGTCTCTCCCCAGTACCAGAACCCGAATGAAGCGAGAAGTCGCTCAATGTAGTCTCCAAACGTATATCGTGTCCTATAAAGGTTTTCCCCGAAGTAGTGGTAGGCAACATGGTTTTCAGGGGTTCCATCTGGCCCCTGAATGAAACACATGCAAGCCTCAGGAATGAAGAAGTCAAATGGCAACACTCCGCGATAGCTGAACCTCCACTCATCATCGAGTCGTGGTTCTACCTGATCTGGTAAAGAAAACCAGGTGATGTCGCGCCAGTTGTCACCAAAAACTTCCGCGATGGGGAGAATCCGGATGTGGCCCGTAGCTGGAAGGTCACCTGTGGTCAGTTCAGGAGAATTATGCTCCCACTCGAGAGCAAAGGAGCCGACTTGGGAATAGAACTGCTCAACCCCTTCGGGCAGAGCACCTTTCGCGTATTCTTTTGCCTGGTCTATCTCACGCTGCGGTGTGGGCGGATCCAATCTTGCTCTCGTGACTCGTATGTGTGGATGGTGCTGAAGAGTGAAGACCATTTGTTTGAGGCGTCGCTGAACTTCGGGATCCATGTTCGTTTCCGGGGGAACGCTGATTAACGGAGTTGCCTCTTCACCTTTGTTAGAAAGCTGAGAATCGTCGTGACCGTCACCGAGCACAGCTGGTGCCGTTTGAGCGGGGAGAGATTCAGCCTTCTCCCGCGCGAATTGCTGTATGTCGCCTGATAAGAATCCGAATATTCGTAGTTTGGAGGGGGGTTCTCACCAATGTCGGGTCATTCAGAATTCGCCTTGCCAGGAACAAAAATGTTTTCATTAGATTGTAGCCTGTTTTAGTAGATACGTCGTTGTACTGAAGACCCTTTTCCCGATGGAAAGTAATTGAAACAGGCTCAAGTCTCCTGTAGGGGAGGTCTACTTTGTTGCCACAAAGGGCGATAGGAAATCTTCCGTTTGCTGTAGGGAGCTTGTCTTGCAATGTGTATCAGTTAAGGATAGCCACGAGGTCTTAATCGAGATAAGCAGCATACCATACCACAGAGGGATGCTATCCAGAGTCGATGGGCTTTGCAAGTCGAAAATCAAGATGGCGGCATCCGCATTGTCGACGTGCTTCCCTAGAATGTCTGGAGGCCCGAAACTGCCCGGCACATCCCATACGTCGAAATTAACGGGGCCGCGATTCTGTCAAGACATTTGCGGTCAATGATCCGCCACCGGATGGGTCCCAAAGATGAATTACCGTGTTCATAAACAAACGATATACGGCTGACTGATGGCTGCCAGAGTACTCGTCTGTGTATCCCACAGACTGGCACCACTTTGCGAGGCACGTCTAGCACGCAGTCAGCACTGAGCCCAGACCAATCGTGCAAAATAAGGAAATTCTACCTTTCCAACATTGCGGTCACCAAGAAGAATGACATTGAATGCCGAACTGGAGTCTTGGTGTTTCGCCATGCGGACTCGCTTCAGGCAGCCGTAATCGAAGTCGTTCGAATCGAGACACTTGTAAAAGACGACAGACAGGACGTTTTGCATCATGCGGAGGTCTTGAGATGTGAAGTCCGACACCAAAACAACAGGCACCATGAGAAAAGTCAAGTGCCTTGGAGACGAAACTTCTGCTGGCGTAAGCGGCGCAATTTTGTCCGAGAGCAGTTCAATGACTCAAGCACAGCTGTATCATCAAATTTCTAATCGCACAGTGACCAGCCATACCGTGAGGGGCAGCAATCAAAACTTCCGTAGTCGATCAGGGTTGAAACTGA